CGATTATGTGCCTGTAAAAAGCCGAAAAAATCTCCTCAAGGCACTTCTCACCCATCTCAATGCTTTTTCCTACTTTCTTATCGACACCTGATGGGCAGATTCAATCCAGCTGAACAGAGATTATTGTCTATAACGTCAGCACTTCAACGACGACGTTAGAGGGGGTCATTTCGATGAAATAGCCTATGTGATAAATGCATAGTCATTTCGAGGCATGTAAAAAATCTATGCATTGAGACAGATGGTGTGCGGAAAATTTTTGAGAGTCACGTGAATCGTTAGCATTTTGCAAGGATGCGTTTTCGTGACTGGCATGGGGGTCTTGTTGAGCAGACATAAAAGAATGGAATATATTATGTTGAGGGATAATAATTTTGGCTTTTTCTGGAAATAAATATTTTTGTAATAGTGTAAGCTATGATTGAAAGGCAGTGTTCAGACAAATCTATATAACTGCTTCCCTTATGAAGATAGGAAGGCCAAAGCCGTTGCCCAAGCAGTAGCTCCAATGATTCATTTGGGGCCGAGCGATCTAACCTGTTACCCCGGACGAGACCGTATCTTCTACCGTACTCAAGATTGCTGATTGGTCTGGTTGGAAAGATCACGGTTTGGGCTAGAACTGAGTTGGAGCCAGATTATTTGAGATGAGTGGCACGTAAAGACCTTGGATCACTTTGAGCTCAAAATACTCAAGATTGGTCGCCTGAACCAATTGCCACGCCCAGTTTTGGTTTGCTTCACCTATTTTTTGGAAAAGAATTTTTCGCACGCATGTGCGGAAGTTTTCGAGGGTTTTTGATATGTCAACACTTCATACAGAATGTAAATAAAAATAATCTAAACGCACAAAAAGTAAAAAATGTCATGGCTAATAGCTCTTCGAACTGTTTTTTTTAGAATTTTGAATTTAAATATCGTGGATTTGTAGAGATGTGCAATGCTTTTTCTCTGAATCTGTTGTGGCGATTTTTTAACATTAATTATGCTTAAATTTTGAAGATTTACATTTTTCAAGAAGGGGAGGTTTTCAATACTACAATGCTTGAGTTCACTGAATTTATAAAATTGGAAAGATTTTTTATTTGTAATTTTCATCAAGAAGGAAGTATAAATAATCTGAGTATATATAATCTGAAAATTCTCAGATCTCCTTTTAAGACTGCGAGTTAAATAGCAGAAATTCCCCTCCCCCCTCTTCGCACCATTTTTTTTTTTGATATTACTAGTTTCTGTATATGCATATGGCATTGTCAAAACATCGATGTTTTCATAGCGCAACGATAAAAACGCAATATAATACATATATGCATTGATTCACTGAATATTCAATCAAATGCTTGTGTGAATAACAAATTCTAAAACACCGTCCACACTCCCACCAAAGTCAATGCACAAAAGTAATCGGGAAAATAGCAAGAAAATGGTATTTCCCACGTATTCCAGCAATTTCGGCGAAATGTCCGTTTGCTCCGGGACTGATTACACCCTTCAGAGTTATTTATGCGAGTCGAATGTTTTGGGGTGAAAAACTGGTGGGGAAATCACTGGAAAAACGCTTATCAGCTGACTGGAATGACAGTTGCTCTAACTTGTAAGACATAGACAAATCTTTGGTTTGTTTGTGCTGTGCAGACTGGGGTCAAACTCCAGGAAACATTCGGTGTGGTTCCAAATTGCTGCCGGCATTGCTCCGACTGGTACCGGCAAATCCGAACGATTTCACCTCACCTCGGGCGGCGGCCCCACCCACCTGGACGAGCTTGCTTGGCATTTACCCTCTCGGCGGGGCTTTTGCTCCGTCATGCATACACATGCACCTTTCTCTTCGTCAAACAATGCATGCACGACTGAACGGGACGTATAATGAGGCCTGTAAGCCGATTCTCTCGTCTCAAGCTTGCGGCGGCCAACTTAATTCGCACAGATCGTTCTTTGGAGTGTTGTTTGATGAGCGTGCAGCTTTGAATATTCGCTCGCTTATCGTCGTTTCGTTTATGGCCCGTCCTGGGGCGCTGTTCAAAGTCTATTGAGCAACAAGCAGCTAATCCTTTTGCCGATCAATCGATCACTATCACTGATTCCGGATTAAGAAGATCTTCGACCTTGCAACGCGACGCAAGCGCGCTCCAGAGAATTTTCGCGAAAATTCTTCGACGCGTGGCTGCCTACGCACATCTCTTCGACGGCTTTTTGATATATGGCCGTCTCGGCTAGCGAACCACCTAGTGCCACATTATTATTCCGCCTGTTTATAATATTTTCTCTTTCTCTCCCCCCCCCCCCCATCTGGTCTTTATTATCAATATTCAGTCACGGAACCAGCATTAGCAACGTTTTTCCGCGGCGAAAACATAGCCTATTTGAGTCGCGCCGCAACCAGTCTTTCAACTCTTTTGGCTCAAACCCGCCCCCTTCAAAATTTTACCCAATACCCCTACATTACCCCCCCCCCCCCCGAGTAGCTGTCAAGTGTGTTTGTAAGCGTCATCACTCTCCCTGTAATATACATAAGAAGAGAAGTGTAGTGCAAACAGCTCACTAGACAAAGCGGAGCTTTTCCCCCCCGATAGTGCTCTTATCACGGGCGCAACCCCCCCCCCCCTCCCCTACTCAATAACCCTCCTCCACTCTGATGTGTGTTCTTCTGCGTTTGTGTTATCTACCATAGCCCAAAAATAGACGCACCGAGTACGCTTTTTGGTTCGCCAATATATCGTTGACACACAGTGAAGTTCAAATTGTACTCTCACTTTCACCCCCTAATGATAACGCGCCCCAAGTAGGGGCATATAATCTCTTTCTACTTCGGGGCAACACCAAAATCGTACTTAAACGCACACCTTGTAATCTGTACTCATTGTAGGACGACAAAAGCCCTTTATCTCTTTGTACTTCCGTCTTTTGATCTTCGCTCTTCCAATTGTCTGTCAGACTCATGTTATTTGGTGTAATCGCACCATTTAAGCCTTCAAATGCTTTTGACAACTTTTATGGGTTTCTAGCTGCATCACACGAATTTGGATATGGTGCAATTGCACTAGTCACCTGAGCAAGACTCCATACACAGGTTTAGCTGCCTTTGACTATAGTCTTCCATGACTTCTATTTGCATTCATGGAAGCAGCCGGTTTCAAATTTCGGAATGTTTACATAGCGCCTTCGCATGTTGGGATGAATCCTGACCTCGTCCAACCTGCGTTCTAAAAGCTTTCTGAAACATTCACCATAGGTTGTCCTTTTTCGAAAAATTTTAACGGAATTTCTACGATGGAACCTGAAATTGCTTGAATTTACTTGCTTATAAACTCAGATCAGCGACAACTTGACTTCTCTGGAAAATATACTCGTAGGAGAATGCTGTCTAAATTGTCGCTAACGTTCAATGTATTGTGATATGGTGTGGTTGCACACTTCACACCGTATTTACGTTAAAAAAGTATTTTAGCTGGCTATTGAGCGCATAGTAGTCCCAACTGGTTCGCCATTATCGTGGACGTTTAGTTTCCGCATTTTCTCTCATAAACCTACTTCTCTCATAAACCTACTAAACGTACTTTTCTTCTTTTTTTGTACCCATGTTCGGTTTGTGGACCCTTAAACATGGCAATAATCTGGACTACTGTATATCACTTCCCAAGGCGGAACTCCAAATGTTATGCGTTGGCAGATCTTGTTATCTAATCTTAGTTGAAGAAAACAGTTACTGTAACATTCCGAGATTCTGTTGGGTAACTTTAGCGAGTCCTTATCAGTACGGTAGCTTTAAAATGGTGCATTTGCTTAATTGCGACCAGCGCCCTGTTTGACGTCATTTTTCGTGACGAAGTGCACTAGGGTTTCGAATGGGTCTGTCGCTCCTTTATCTTCTTTAGTATTTCCAAAAAAATGTGAAGAGACTCTTTCAAGTGGTTATACTGTAATCGCGAGCGAAGTGTGGGAAGCGTGCGATAGAGCACGCCGCGCACGTGAACGCAAAGTCTCTGCTTAAACATTATACTGATATGATCTTCTGGCTGTGTTTCAACTTAGGTGGGAGTACTTGCCAGTTTTTTTAAGAATATTTCAGTTGCGTCCGCGTAGGAGCGTGCCGAAGGCTGCATTCATACTGATCCGAGGTTCGGGAAAAGTTCCAGCAGAGAGCTCGAAATGGGTGCCGTGGTGGAACTGTTCCCGAACACACGGATCAGTATGAACACAGCGCCTAAAGGTAGAAGGCCCCCCTCCCAAGTTTAAGCTGCATTTATTTCTGTCAAGCTGGTGCGGGTGCGCTGATTTCGCATTTTTTCTTCTGCTCTGCCTTCTCGCTGGAATTTGATGCATCCCCAATTTTTCTAGTAGCTGTTATATTTAGCAACTTCGTCTTCGGCAATGTTCGCCTTTTCTTCTTTGGACTTTTTGTAGTATTTTTGTTGCAGGCAGCTGTCAATAGTGTAAAACCAACTAGTTGCACTCATGGGTCAGAATCCCACACAAGTGCTCGCTAATCAGTCAGAACTTCTTTCCAGTCGGCTGTCCAGTTACTCTCAGTCTTTTCTTCAAGTCCCTCAATTCTTTCCAGTCTGTTTCCTTTTCTGTGTAACATTATTATCGTGCCAGCCACCCTCAATACATTCTTGCGTTTCTGGGTAAATGTCTCTGCAAGAGGTATTATTTATCGAGTAAACAGCTGCTTTGCTACATATTGGTGGTGCCATGCACCCAGAAATTTTTGCGCTTCCTTCCCGCGCTCGCACATCGCACGCACATCAGGCAGTTGACAACGTTTGCAGAACAACTGTTGTCTTTATTCATTATCGTCACCAGTTCTTCCTACCGCAGTGTACACGGTAGCCCCACCCCTAAATTGTCCACAGAATGTTCATTCATGTGTGGAACTTGTTTCAGTGCTGCCGCGACATAAAATCTTTATGACATTTTAACTTTTAAAATGCTCGTTTTTACATTCACTTACTCTATCGATTCGTTTGAATGTAACATTATTGAGATTTTCTTTCTAGATTTATGCATCATGGCAAAGATTGATCAACCACTACAAGTACTCGCTAGTACTCCGTCTCATCGCGATGATTATATCACATTCCAGTATACTTGGTCTCTGAAGATTTGCCAACGGTTAGTTTTGCAATGAGTCGCTCTCTCACATTTTCTTGTTTTTTCTTCTTGTCAAAAACTTTGGATAATCAAGTTCTGTGTATTACAAATTTTTTTATTCTTGTTGGGGGAAAGGCACAGAAGGAGAGATTAGAGGCAATTGCTCTGTCATCTAGTCTGTAACTTACTGAGCCTGCACACTACGCGCGGCAACAGACGACACCCCTCCTAGTATTTCCTCGATAAAGCATTCGTTAGCGCAGCAAACCATAGCAGTGTGTATCACTTATTGATACATATTTATACAAGCAAGAGAGACAACAAAGCAAGGAGGAATCACAGGAATTGTGCAAGTTGTGATCTTATATGTCGTCAAGTAGCGCGCATGATGTGCAACATGCACATTAAGTTACAAATGATTCGGTTAGCTAGTTGGCATAGGGAAAAAAATAGACTTTAGAATAATCGTGCATCTTTCTGCCTTTCCCACAGCTTTGATCATCTATTTTTGGCCAAAAGGACCTTTTTTGTAGAAAGATAAAGAGTACAGTATGATACCACCCGCCAATGATAATATTTATCAGCTTCCCAGGGAAAAATTTTACACCTTAGGGGAAAATTTCATTTCTTTTTTGTTTTCTTTCTGCCATACGGAACTATCCGAATGTAGGGCAGATGTCGCTTGTTGTTGTAAGCAACATCGCTTGTGCACACTATACTATGTTTATTGTTTTGCAGCTGTTTACACCCGCTTGCTAAATTGATACTGCCACTTGCACGTTCGCTAGCTCACTCACGATAAATGGGAACCCCAGTTCTTTCACCGAATCGCTCTCATGAAGGAGAACAGTGTATCTTTTCGATGTTAATGACAAAAAGAAAATTTGTTCTCATGATGTAAGACTACCTTAAATAGTGTATGAGCGCGTGATGCACACGAAATCATCGGTGATGACGTAGTTGGTCTCTAAAGGAGCGAAGGCGTGTGGCTGTATTCATGCAAAAAAGTGATCGTGGTCAATGCGCTATGCGACTAGTCTCCGTTGTTTGTTTGGAAAATCGTCTGTGAAAGATTAATTTCAGCGGAGATCGTGTGAATGATGGGTGTTGGTTTTTATGTCTATTAAAACGTTCTCATCACCTTGAATGCGGACGATTTTTGAAAATTGAGCGGTCATGGACTTCTTAGGGACTGTACAAATCGAATCAAACGTATTAGCATAGACTTCTAATGCCAGTTTTCGTCTTGTCGAACAAAAAAATGAGAAAGAATAGCAAGTGTTAATCATGAATTCATTCCAAAGAAAAAAGTTTATGATGAAGGAAGCTAATAGATTGAAAAGAAAGTTCTTGACTTATTCGAACAATGTTTTTACTTCTTTGAAATTATCATATGGAGCATGCAGCATATCGTGAAATAGAGGAAAGCAGGCTCTATAAGATAATAAGCACGAGCATAATGGAAGATTTCTATGAAAGTAGAGGCCAAAATTTGAAAACATAGGATTTTGACCGAGTTCAGATCTCCGCTTTCCGTAAGCGCTGTGAAACTCCTAAATCAGTATATAGTGGACATAAACTTACTTCTGTATATAATAGTGTATCGAATTTGCGCTTAATTAGAGAGGAAAACGAGGTAATCTAAAAGTGGCAAACCCCGCCCATAATGGCCGTATGCTCCTCCCACCTACTTAGTTGAAGCCAAATATATATGGGAGCTAAACTCCAAGTTTCGCTTTTGCAGATGCATTACAGTCGAAATAGCATTTTTGTTCTAGAAATGTCGGAAACTCTTACTCATCTAATACAAATTACTTGTTTTAGTATTTTATGAAACGTGTGTCAGAATGGAAACCCTATCGATTAACTAGCGCCAGTGAAGCTAGGGTAATTTTAATCTATTTGTTTCTAGATTGTTGGAAAATTCCGAGGCTATTGTATTGAATGTATCACCTGCGTTTTCAACGGCCTACAATGGTGTTCAGTTCACCTGGGCACTACGCCTATCTGATGAATGCGTCATTTCTACATGTGGTATGTTAGCAGTTTTGCATGAAAGTTTTGTATTTATCATATATTGCACCATTTCAGAATCTGCTGCAGTGCCATCCGTTCGTCAGGTGCTGGTTCTACTTTATTACAAGGATGGACCGTGCAGTGACGTGACAGTCGAAGAAGCTAGGTAAGCTTTTGCTCTCTTTTTGCACACATTGGTATGAGGAAGTATGTTTCTTTGTACGGTTATTTTTCTTTATCTTTACTGCTTATCTCTTCTTTTTTCCCTTTGTCATGTCGACATCTGTTTTAGGGCTACAATATGTTGTCCGCAGACTGGTCAGGAACTTTTCTCTGGTTTCTCCTCGGAGTATTCCAGGGAATATACCAAGGGAAGTGGATGGCCACTACCACTTGAGAAGTCGAAGCAGTCTGCTTTTACCGCCTTTGTACATCGAAATATTGACAAGCATCTGAATATAGTTGTGGATATAAAGTGAGTAGTAGTTAAGGCGGATATTTTTGCTGGAAATAGCTTCAAAATCTCAATTTTGCAATGATTCAGGTTCAAGAATTCACTCTTCGAGCCTCTCAGCTACCTGCCAGATGTTGAGCGCGCCTGCCGAAGTCAACGAATTGAGAACACATGCGTGGAATTTGTAAATGATTACTATAACAATGCTGTAGATATTCCGAATCTAGACCTCCTTCGAGCACAAGTACGTTTTCATTACATTCTTGACAATATGTAACCCTATAGAGTGTTTTTTAGGACGACAAGTTTTCTATGCACCGGCTAGTCTTTCTTTTCGGATGCGATCGTGTAGAAAAGGAGTGTTTCGATGACCAAGAAGGAGTTGTTGCTGAACATACACTGAACCTCGTTAGAAGTGTAAGTTTTGCTAGTAGGTGATAAATTCTTATCGTCTCGTCTTAGCATAGGATTACTTTCGCTGTAATCTGAATAACATGTTATTTGTGGAGTGACTGAAGCGTCGCGGCTAGGAAAAACTATTTATGACTGCTTATCTTTAGTACCATCTAGAGCCATCTCAGAAAGCCTACTTATAGTCCTATCGGTTACGAAGAAAAACTTGTTTTCGCCGATTTGAAATGAGTGGGGTGGCCATAAAGGCGTTGAGCTTCATTCAAAAAGTTAAGACTCCGATTTTAGATTTTTGCACATGTCTACTTCGAGCGCGTACTCATGAGGGAAGTGCAATACTTCGAAGACTTCATAGCCTTGCTCGAAGGTATTGGACAAGCGCATATTCCTCCTTTGCGGAAGGAAATCGAGCGGTTCATATGCAGAGAAGTAATGTCGGTGAGTAATTATGATCGAGTTTTGTTGTTAGTGCAAAACGCAGCTTCATATTTCCAACTTGTTTTGCATATTAGTGCGATTAGTGTCATTATGACATTGCTGCATGGCCATCTTCTAAAACTGAATTATCTTTCTTCACCGATAGGGCTCACGCACAACGCGCCAGACGGCTAAAGGAGATCTTAGAAATGTGCAAGAGCGTTTATCATTTGCTGCATGACTAATCTTTTATGTAACTACTTGCCATTGCAATCGTGCTGCAGATCTACTAGATCATAATCTTTATTCTGCAGCATGTGACAAGTCATTTTTTCTCCAAAATGACATTAACGAATGTAAAAACGAAAACATGTCACATTACACCGTCGCAGTTTTTTTGGGCATGATGTGTGCTGCGCGAGTGACGAGCATTTGTTTACTTGTGACGAATTTCCTATAGCGTCCGTAGGAACAAATTGTATTTAATGTGACACCTATTCCTTATATGATATCATATGTGGGGGCATATAGTCAGTTTATTTTTGGCCATCAGAGCAAAGTTTGCAAATAAATAGGCACCTATTTTGAAGAATAATTGGAATTTGAAATCACTGAGATATTTGACCATTGCTTTGATGAATATTAGCGTTTGTACTGCACTTTTATTGCTGAAAAGTTATCACTTCTGTTCTAGGAATCAACGGACTCTACGTTCACAAAGAAGATGCTTCTTCTTGCTGAACGATACCAACTAGATGTGTTGAAAATGGTAGCCAGCGGCGTTTTAGTGGATCAAATAATTGCTCACTCAAACCCGTCTGGGGAACTCGTGAATATCTCGCATGAGCTCAAGAAAATGGCTAGCGAAATCAACGACAGGTGCGTAAAAGATTTTTTCTATGCTTTTATCTTTTTTCCTGAAGTAGGGCATCACAATTTAGCCACCACATAATTCACTCAAAACCTTTTTAGCCTGCCTGCTGATCCCACTACTCCCACTGAAGATCTCCTCGTAGGTTCTGTTTTGGAAGATCTGCAGGCATTAACAAGGCGAGTCCGACGGGTGTCACTCTCACATTCGCCCTCATCAGCAACATCGAGTCCGTCTTCGACACCTTCGGGGGGAGCGACTCCTACCGATGAGTCCGCACTATCCCCTGCACCCATTTTGCCGACGGGTGGTCCTTTTGAGAACGTGGTGACCCCGAGTCGGTTCAAGCGAATCGAACTTGTGTAAAGCTTTCTATAAAGAAAAGATAATCACAAAAAATGCTTGCCTAGAAGTGAAAAATTTCTTTGCATTGTGTGAAAGCGTTCGTTTGCTTATATCTCCCATTACTTTACAATTCGAGAATTGGCTTGAGTTCTCCTCCTTCACTGTCAGGTAGACGCCGACCTCTTTTTCTCGTCTATATACACTGTTGTTGCGGTGTTTGTCGTTATGACGGCACTGTTTCTCGTTTGTTACAAAGTTCAAACCGGTATACATATATACAATACTTTATTCATTCTTATTGAATATATATCTGTACAGCCTCATTTTTTCCCATGGTTGCGATAGCTTGACACCTCTGTCTATTTGTAGAATACTTTAACTGCATATTGACAAACGTGCAAAGCTCTCTGTATGTATATTATACTTTTCCTGTCGTGGAATTCGGTGTACGTTCCGCACGGGTTCTGTTTTTTTTTATGTTCTGTCTCGTGTACGCGTCATGTGCATTTAGTGCCTCTTGTAAGAATGCGCTCTTTCTCATTCGCGAAGAGAACTAGTCCATTGTTTTCTCTTTTCGGAAGTGCTCAGCGCATTCGTTTTATGACAGGCGTCGATCATCTATCAGTGCTCTCATTTTATATGACTTTAACAATCATTTTGATGTACACATTTGAGAGTTTCCTTTACTTTTGCCATTTCTCGAACCATCAATTGCATGTTGTTATACGTTTTTTGGGTGAGAAACCGCATCAGAACTGGTCAACGCAAGATTCTACTTTAGTAATAATCATATTTAAACCAGGCACATTGTTAGTTTTATTTGGTAGTTACTCATGTTTTTCTGTAAATAGTTGTCTTGAAATGTATCATCCACTGCTGCGGTTATACTCAGTTTCAAGACTATGTTAAGACTATTTTCATTGCTTCTTGATGCTTTCACTGTACTGATAGTCTGCTATAAGTGTTTTCGTGTTTCTAAATCATTCTTCAGTTTGTTTAAAGTCATTCAATAAAAACTAACAAAAGCATGTTGGAATCGGATCATGAATTATTGAGAAGATATATTGCAACCATGGTGGAAATACGGAATGGGCGTGGCGCGTATGGGCCGCCCTCTGCGAGGTGATTGGCTGGAGGACCCACTACCGCGGACATGGGCAAAGACACACGCAGGAACCCACGTAAACGGCTACTGACAGGGCCCGATGCAGATCGCATGGAAGCAGGCTGGACTTTGTTTTTGGATCGAAAAATTAGAGGGGATATCGTTTTTGTTGCCGGAAATTGACGCCTTTTTTGAGTCAAGGTTTCGTCTTGTGGGTTTTTCACGTTTAGGGCTAGATGTCAAAGGGGACTTCGTAAAATTTCGTGAAAATCAAGGTTTTTTCGTTTTCAAGAAGCCTAAAAACGAAGTCATGCCGGGCCCTGACCACGGAATAGCTCCTCGTAGTGCTGGCGAAAGCAGTCTGCTCAGGGCCACGAAAGCCACTTTTTATAAATTGAGAACAATTTCGATTCATACCCGGGTGCTGAAAAATTTAGGCTAGAGGACTTGCTTCGACCTTTCAGAAAAAGGCACGATGTTTCTTCCCAGTCGATGTTGTACGAAAAGAAAACAAATTTTTGATCTAAAATAGGACAAGATTTTGTAATACGGTGGAATTTTGACGAATTTTTCGCAATTTGCGACAACCCTCTGACGCACTGCACAATTGGCTGAGCTACTGTACATAACTGGGATGCCTGAACAACCGTGGAAAAATCGTTTATTGAAAAACAAGGAAGTATTGCGTACTGTCCGAGACAGCCATGTATAATAACAGAGTCATCAGTTAGAGTTTTTTCTCTGTCACTTCAGAACCGCAACCATTTTCCGTGTTTGAAGAAGTTGCATTTTAGGTGTCCTGGCTTCTTTCCAAAAACATAAAACTCATAAAGGGAGTCGTGTTCAACCAATGATCTTTTGCCTTGTACGCGAAACCATATTTTGAACTTTTGTATGAAGCAAGAAGGGTTCAACGCGAAGAAAATGCACACATGGGAACTTGCCATAGCGTTTCGCTTCTCAGTTTTTCACTTTTCCTTTCACCATTTTTCAAGCTTTCAACTGCGTCATCGGTCATCTGGGTTATCACCTCACATCTCGCTTCCATGTGCCTTTTGTAATGACTTCTTTATCAATTTTCTTACTTTTTAAGATACTTGCAGAAGAATTTCGATTGAATAGGATCTCTGTGAGTCCGGTGTAACTTCAGATAACCCACTGATGATAATCATTCAAAAATAATCTCCCTCTCCCTCTCCCAAAGATTTTCACGAGTAAGATTATTTGCCTGACTCGCATATCCTTAATTAATGAAAGAAGGGAGAGGGAGAAATTCTCTCATGGGTAGAGGCACAGTTTAGTTGAACAAGGGAAAAACAAAAAATAAGAAATACCTTTTATCTGCGGTAACAGGCAAGATGAACGTTCGTCTGTCGACAAATTTCGACTTGAATAATGAGTGAAAACAAAACTAACTTGCATCCAAAATAAAGCGGATGCGTACGATTTTAAGGTTGACGGGTATCAACTTTGGTGACCTGATTGAAGGTATATAGTGCACGAAGACTGCTTTAGCAATAGTTAAATCTTCAGAAACTGTTCCAGTCACTAGAATTTCAAGAAAAGGTCTTGAAGTAATGAATGGGAATCGCACACTTTTCAATAAATGAAGTCTAAATACCTTGGTAGCAGTGGCGGTCCCAGGATGATCGGGGTGGGGGCGCGGAAAATTTTTTTTTCTCAAATGAAGGTGCGTGGACGCCCCCGAAAAAATTTTTTTTATAAGGCTAATTTGAATTTTTAAACAATTTTAAAAATTATTTTAATTATTTACAAAAATAAACAAGTCGTTTGCACATTTTTACAATCCATATAGGTAAGTTTCAAAAATTTCGCGACCCATTTTCGGCCCGCCCCCCCCCCTCGGACCGCCACTGCTTGGTAGACATTCCATTTTGTGTAAACGGCTTGCTACTGCTCTGATCTCAGCACTAACAAGGAAACGATACTCGGTGTCCGTGGCTTTTGAGATGAGTTGTATACCATTACACTCGTCTTGGAACGCTGACTCCGAATCTGACTTCCGTTTCTGCTAATCGCTTCAAAGATGTTGTAAAGGATTGTGCAGGCTTCGGCATTCCACTGAAATAAGTTCGAAGCGGAAACGGTGCCGGTGCGATGTGGTCTAGAGGTTAACGGGATAGGCTCATGAGTTAATGCAGTTGTAGGTTCGAATCCTTTTGTGTTTTTCAGTTTTGCATTGCCTCAATAAACCTTCTTTCGCATCTTCGAGCTAACTGGACGCCCTTACTCTTCAAAAAACGTGGAAGTTTGGAAAAAATTTACTATTTGCGTTAAAATGTATCCAATGACTGACCATAATTCGAGTGAATTTTGAACAATTTTAATTGAGGTAGTGCAAAACAAAAACACAAAAGGATTTGAACCTACACATGTATCAAGTTAAGAGAGTTTAGAGCTATCTAACCACTAGACAAGAACATGGCGCCGGTAGAGGCCGTTCTGGTGACCATACCCTTGGGCGGATAAAGTTGGCTCGAAATTCCTCCATAACTTCCTTCAGAGGAACGATTAGCAGAAACGGAAGTCGGATTCGGAATCAGCGTTCGAAGGCGAGTGCAATGGTATACATCTCGTCTCAAAAGGCCACGGACATTGAGTATCGTTCCCTTGTAAGCAGTTCCAATCACTTCATTTGTACGTCCGTGTTCTTGCTTTTGTTTCTTTTGAAATTTCTCATCTTGTATCTAGCTGCAGCCTAGAGGCTTTCTTGGGAAGTACTGAAGAGGCTTACCGAAGGAGATGCACTACCTGTATAGTTGCAACCTCAAGACCGAATAGTGTCATGAAAGCTACAAAATTATTTAAGCTTTCTTCTATTTTTCTATTTCAATCCACAAATGCAAGAACTCTTTCGTTATGACAGAATTTTGTTATTTTCGCATTCAGTGCAATCTTCTGCATTTTCCTGGAAAGGCTTGGAATATTGTTGCACTGAACACAGCAGTAAGAAGTAGTAATGGTAAGTGTGAGCTAATAAGTAATGAATTATCAACCCAGATCCATTCTTGAGAAAAAAAAACAGATTGCAATGTTTTTCGCTGCGTAGCATCTGTCACGACAAACTCGGAATGTTGTAACGGTTATAACTTTAATATTCTCAGAAGCAATGTGTATTAGTGATTTGCGAGAAGTTGAAATAAAGTGCTTCAAGTATCGTTAGTCTGTCGCAACTTGATTATCGTGACAAAAAGTCGCAGTGCATTGTATTCGACACAGGTACCAAAGATTGCGAGTTTATCGGGATGCAGCTAATCTCCAACAGCTCAGAATGGAGGTTGGCCTAGAATAGCCAATCTGGCGTGACCTCCGCCTCCGCAGAAGATCGCAAATCTGCAGAAACATCATGCAAAATCAAAGATTTATGGATCGCATTCATTTCCTAAAACAGCATATTTTATTTTATTTTATTTTATTTTATGCATACACTCGCGGTGCACCATTAAAAAATCAAAATCGAACAGGAAATCAAGGTAACACAGAATTAAGACAAGAAACCAGCCAATCCTCTGTCACAGAAGCAAGAAGAGATATAAATGGGAAACAAAACTAAACAAGACAATTACCGAAGCTCGATAATGACGATGTAGCCATTAATTGCAGCATACCAAAGGAAAAAGCGCTATGTCCAGACAATCTGTAGAATCTTGCTTCTTCTAAAGTTAATGAAGACCCTGTTTTTGGGTGTCAGCGAGCCCCCCGGTAAAAGCTAGCTGACGTAACCCCGGCTGAATAGTTGCTTTAGGAGAGAGCAAGATTCACTGGGAGTTGTAGGGATGAACGTCTAACAACTATGCGCGACTGATATCCGACAGAGGTGGGGGTGGGACTGGGCTACGGTGAGGGATATGCTGTGAGTGAGACTGGTTGATCTCATTAGTGGAAGCACTATGGTTAGTAACACAACAAACAATGCAAATAGCAGTCATTCTCTATCCTATCCTTGTTGTGGACTATCCAAACGAAGCGAACCAGAAAGCAGAAAGCATAGCGTCAAACGATAGAAGGACGAACTGAGGCAGTACGAAGAACACAAGCACCACATCAGAACAAGACTAATCTAAAAATCAGAAATATCAAGAAGCTGAAGCACATTCACATCTAACAATTTTTTACAAAAAATTTTGGAGTTTTCACTGGATAATGATATGATTTGGTAATGCAGAAAACCATCTTGATGTTCGATAGCAAAAGGAATTGAAAGTCATCGAAAGATGTTTTCTTCCTATTTTGCGATATTGCAAACCAAACCTACCTGTCCGGTCACTACACGGTCTAAAAAACCAGTATTTACTGGCTTTTAGGTTAGTTTCCAAATTCAGAATCCGAAAGCATAGTACAAGTTCGTTAATAACGCCTATACTTCAGACTATGGAGGTGTAACATATCGAGACGGGTACGATAGGAGGGTAAGGCATGAGGATATCCTGGATTGGGAAAGCATCGATAAAAAAGAATCCTCGTGAAAGTCTTTTGAATTTTTTCAACTTTATCAATATTTCTTTTCAAAAATGGACTCCAAATGGGCGATGCATACTCAAGATGAGGTAACACGTAACTTTTGTACAATCGCAAGAAAATTTCCGGATCATTACTATGTATATTTCTAAAAATTGTAAAAAGCGTTGAAGACGACCTTTTTATGACAGTATTTACATGAGTATCAAAAGTAAGAGAATTCTCTATCATAACACCAAGATCGCGAACTGAATTAGAGATTTCCAGATTGATACCATTGTAGTTGTACGTACAACACTGGGAATTCCCAAGGTGCATTACCATAGTCTTGGAGGCATTTATGAGGAACAATTCTGCAGAACAGCACTTTTTCAAAACCCATCTAAAAAAGAACAACTGCAACAGAAAACATTTGAAGTGCAAGCTATGTTGTATGCAAAGTG